AGTTGAAGCGCGTCCGTGAAATTCTAGTGACGTTCTCCTTTATTAGCGAGGTCGAGCCTTGCGTTTACTCGCACCACTGCGCAGCCATCGTTTTCCAGTACGCAATTAATATTTCAGAATTCGATTAATCTTCAAAATGATACTATCGATTGTAGAGGGATATGAGTTTAGTTTCAATTAAGTATCACGACACGTTGGAGATTTTCGAGGGGTTAAAAGAGTGGGGAAGGAAATTGATTCTAATTGCGGTCGTTCCAACATTCTTCCTCACGAATCTCTCGGATTTCTGCGGTCTGCTAGCAGGTCCACGGAGAATAATTTTCAATAACGAATCTTCCTCCACGAAATTTTCTCGTTCTATATTCCCAAGTTTTGACGACTTATCTTCAAACTTATCGTTTGAATATTTTAAATGTATTTAAAGATTCTTTATTTTATTGCTGATTAGTTTGGGGAAATATTATTAAAAGATTTATTATTTTTTATCGAAGATAGATTTGCATTATTTCCTCGTGAGGGACAAAAGTTTTCGTACATTGACTTATATAGAAAATTCAAATTCTTTTCTAAACATAAACTTTTATTCAAAATTTTCAATATATATAAAATTTTTTAATTCAGATAAATTTTTTTGTTGTAAAATAATACATTTTTTGTTGTAAAAATTTTTATCGTTGAAATATTTTTGAATGGAATTTCTTTTTTTAATCACTTTGTTAAAACTTCATATATAAATTTTAATTTATAAATATAAACAACTTATAAAAAATAATTTATACAAGAATTATAGTTTCTGGATACCTCTGGTATAATTAGTTTTTCTCTAGATGGATATATAAAAGTCATAAAATAATCACTGATATTTTTTATTAAATGGAATCATAGAATTTTTAATTTCAAAAAAAATGTAAATTTAAAAAACAAAGTTCACATGTTCCACGAAATAATTATTAATAATTTCAAATTACATCTTTTTCCATTCAATTTCATTCAATTTAAATACTTTAAATTATTCAATATTTTCCTATTCATCTGTATGTCAGTGCTGTTTAGTCACTAAAGCTTGTTCGCAGAGAAGAGCTCGTAAAGCTACAACGAAACTAGGATTTGAGACTTTAGACCTTACTAATCCTTGTTATATTGTCCATAATTATCCACCGTACAGGTAAGCGTTAAATGACAGCATTGTACGCACTGGTTGAGAGAATTATGACACTTGGAAAATGACCAAAGACACAGTCTCTTATAATTTTCTCCGAGAAAAATTATGTTATTCTAAATTGAAAATTTTTCTCTGAGTTAAAAATAAATAATTTTGTTACACGCTATTTTTATATAAAAGTAAAATAACGTCCTCCATCCCGATAATTTGTCTCGCTAATTTATCCTCTCCAATTTTGTCCACGTATTTTTATGAAATGAAGCTATTATTCTATTAACAATGGAATATTCTACAATTAAGATTTAGAAGAGTTAGTAGACAAATTTTACGAGGATTTCTTCCATTTTTGTGAAAAGAAAATTCTTTTGACAATAAAATAAAGAAAAAAACAAAAGAAATATCTGAATTCAAATGGGTAAAAGTGGAAAACGTTACTGAACTGCAGACTTATCTTCTTCCCGATTCATTCTATTCCCTGTTGCACATTAAACATCGACACGTGCATAGGGAATTGGCTAAGCATCGATCGATTTCGACATAGCAGGTGTGCAGGTTCATGCATATTTTCTAAAGAGAACAATACAATATTCTGGTGGAAGCAGCCAGAATGCGGATAAGTACTTAGTTTTATTGCTTCTTGTTATTGCAAAAGGGAATCCTCGAGGCAGGTAAGATCATAGATATTGCAAGAAAAGTCTGGCTTTTCAGTGAAAGTACAATAAAGAGTAATAAATTAACTAATATTTGGTGAAAATTTGTCAATATTTTAAAATATTATAACTTTCTGAGAGCAAGTTTAAAATTCATTTTAAAATCCTCATTTTTTTTCTTTTTTTCTTTTTTCAGAAATGATTTATATCTGGTAGCAAATAGGAGAGTAAAGATATTTTTATTCTCGAAGATTCGAAAAATTCGACCGACTGTAAGGACAATTGATTGAGATATTGCCTTTATGATTATTTTTAAAAACTTGGTGTATAATTTGTTTGCCAAATTATTGAACTTTGAAAATAATCGAAAACAAAATGAAAATTTAAGTTTCTTAAATTTTGATCATCTAATTCTAATACTTTTTTTATTTTATTATTAATTCTAATTTTATTTACAATGTATTATAAAAAATTAAATCAAATATTTTTCTACTTATTTTATCTAGTATTTTATCTAGTACAAAGTTAAATTTAAAAATGTTTCTTGATATTCTCTTTTAACAATTGATCTTCTTGTAAAAAATTTTTCAATATTACTAACAATTTTATATTGAATTTTAAATCTGTATATGAGAAATAATTCATTAGAATTCGCTTATTATATTTCTTTGCAAAATCATAGTTTTGTCTTTAAAAAAATCTTTGTACATGAAAAAAAATTCTTAGAAAATCTCATTAAATAAACTTCAATAAATATTCTTTCCAGCAAATAATAATTATTTCTGTGAAATCATGGATAAAAATATATAATTTGTTATGGCAAACAGTAAAAAACCTTCGTTATTATTTACTTACTTTATTTTATTTAAATATTAAATTTTATCAGATATTTGAGATTCTGATAGATAGAAAATTTTTAACTCATAATATATTTTTTTTAAATATTAATGAGCGATATTTTCATAATATTCTTCTAATAAAAAAACATTGAACGAACTTGTTTTTCGATCTAATGTAATTTTCATTTCCATTTATTTCTCTTTTTTTCCAATCTGCATAAAAAGCTTTCAAACATTAAAAACAATTACAGTATAATTATTTGTGCTTTCCCATTTACGTGTGTTTTTTGCATACATTCTCATCTGTTTTAATGTACATTTAGGTTTTAATTCAATTTCTATTCAAAATATATAACGACAGATTAAACGAAGAAAGAAAAAGTTGGAATTTTTTTATTTATGATACACGATACACAATTTACGAATATCAATTTCAAACTGTCTGAAGATAAATTTTTAATCAATTTAAAAATGAAACAATTACGGAATTAAATTTCGAATAAGTTATATAATCGATTGATAAAACTTGTATCAATTTTTGTAAAACGATTTATGATTAAATTATCGTTTTATACTTCAATTACTGAAAAATTAATTTTTTTGAAAGCTGGATAAAAAAAAATTAAATATTTAAATTATTGATAATTTAATTTTTTATGTACGATTATATACATTTAATATTTTTAATAATTTTTTTAAACAAAGCTTTTATATTTTATCTGTATAAATCATTACAATGATTTTTCTTCGAAATATCGAAAATATCAAATATTATTCCGAAAACCAATTTATTTTCATTAAAATTAAAATTAATTACGAGATAAATAATTAAGAGAATAATTAAAAGAATAAATAATTAAGAGATTAAAATACAGATTCATTGCATTACAATATAAAATATTAAATATATTAAGTTTCTGAAAAATTATAAAGTTAATAAATCTAAACTCTTTATAAATTTTAAAATTCTCTAACTTTTTATAAATCTTAATAAGAAATCTTAAAAGAAAAAATTAAAGAATTTTTCGAAACATTATTCAAATTGTTTGAACATTTCTAACTGACCATTTAATATTCCGCTGGTGCTATTTACTCCCTCCCTCTCTGTGAAAATTTTTCAGGTAAACACCTATTTGTCAGCACCGATACCCTTCCCCCAATACCTCAGGTACAAATAGATGTGTTACGGTGTTTAAGCCTCATTTAACATTTGATCTTCAACGCGTGAACATCGTGTTCTCTGTCCCAGTGTCTAACTCTATCCTATATTGAAAATTTTTCAAATAGAATAAAATTTAATTTTTCATTTTTTGTGCGTGTAAAAAAATTTAAAATGTATATATATTTGGTGATATATATTGTATACTAATTATTATATACTAATTAGAAGAGTGAAAGTATTTAATAGATTATTTTTATCGAAAGTTTGAGTAACACAAGTGACAAAAAAAAAAATGAAGAAAACTATTCTTCAGCGTATATTGAAGACAGACAACAAAGAAGAGGTTAGTTTTTTAAATTCTTTTTCTAAATTCTATATTTTTTTCTCTTATCTAATTTCTCTTATTAATTTCTCTTATTAAAATCTTAGAAATGTAGATACATCATAGTAGATAGATTTTTATAGATTCATTAAATTAAAATTTAAAAATTGTATTAAAATATTTTTCTCTTATAAATAATATACGACTTCTTTATTATTATTTGTAATTTATTATAATATTATAGGAGAAAAGAATTAAAATTTGCTGATTTAATTTTATTAATCTTTTTCATTTCTTTTACCAAATTTGAAATAAACTTACAATGAAACAATTATTATTTTAAATATATGTTTTCTATTCTGTTTTTTGTACATTTTTCAATTGAAAATAACGATTTGAAATAATTTATTTTATATTTCAATATCAAACAAAATTTGCCCAAATATAAATATTCTTAAATTCTTTAAACTCTTTAATTTCTTATTTCAATTTCAAATAAAAAAAAATATCCAAATTTCAAAGCATTTTATTACCCCGAATATAAAATAGAATCGAAATTTTTCGCGCGGGAAGGAATTAACAAAAAAATTAGAAAAATCTGGAAAGCAAATAACGTGAAAAATAAGAAACGCAAATTTGACGTTTATTATATAACAAAATTAGTATATAACAAAATTATATAATAGTATATAACAATATTTTAGTATGTAACAAAATTTGATATTATTTTAAAAAAATTATTTTCAAAAAATAACAAAAAGAATAAAGAATATAAAGAAGAAAATTTTGATTTCTGCCGTAGCTGAACGGAGAGGACGGAAGTGTGAAGGAAGAGGAACAGAAGAGCGAAAGAGTAAGAAATTACTCAGAGGTAGCGGGGGAAAGTTGGATTAAGAAGCGTGGCAATTATTCGGCCCGCAATCCGATCGGCCCTATAAGGACGAATGCAATGAAAGCCGCGGACCGAAGCAGTCACAGCGACCCCTACAATGTTTTTTCCCCTAGGAGCCCGCGGACAAATTTTGGATCATCGCCGACACATCCCGAGATGTTCGATTTGGAGACCATTATATGCGAGTTCGAGAAGGGTTTCCTCTCCCCATCGAAGCACGAAGGAAGGCCGATGGATATAGGCAAACAGAGGAACTTCGTCAAGAAGATCGTGGCGGCGTTCGAGGTAAAATACAAGGCGTGTAACGATCCGAGGGGCGGGCAGGAGGGGGCCGAGAGCAACCCGGACACCAGTTGCGGAGGGGCGGCGAGGAAGAGGTCGGAGATCTTTGAGCCAATCCCTTTCGACTCTGAAAATTTGCACGATGACTCGATGAGCGAGGGCGAGAAGAACGAATTTGAGAATCGTTCGGACAGCAATTCGATGGGGGAAACTTACGCCTGGCCTTCCGAAACCTATGCGTCCTCCGAGGAGGATGGGCATACGATCGATCTTCGAAAAGTCATAAAACGCGACGAGACGGAGGACGATCGTGAAAATGTGGAAGGATTAATGTGCTCGAACGGTTCCAGGAAATCGGCAATATTCTCGAGCGCGTACAGCAAAGATTTGAAGAACGAAGCGAATGAAAATTTCTCTGATGCTTATCTGAGCTCGTTGAATCTCGAGCGGCGAGGCTCGAACGACTCCGATTGCTCGAGCCTTTTCAAATTCGACAAAGAGCAATCCTGTCTAAGATCGAACTTCCACGCTGATTCGAAGATGGCCGATGTATCTCTCGATGACACGATGGAGGGCACGATCCTTGACTTGACCCTGCCCAATCCGGAACGGAGGGGCACTTCCTCGATGGAGAGCGGATTCCCTAAAAGCACGAGCACGATGATCAACGAATTTCCTAAGAGGGAGAAAGAGGAAGAGGAGGTGGAGGGGGAGGAGGAGGAGGAGGAGGAAGAAGAGGAGGAGGAGGGTTCGAAGGACGCCCAACAAATTTCGCGCAACGATAAGACACCTAAGATAGTGGGGGCGTTCTTGAAGAGACCGATCGAAGTCGAGGACACCTCCATCGATTGGATACCTATCCCAGGGAAGAAATTACCGCGAAAAAAATCATTGAAAAAATTGCTATATTCGTTGACAGGTAAGAGGCTCGACAAGAAACGAAAATTGTTCTCGTCGGAGAGGAACTTGAACGAGGGGGAATATCAAGATTCCGGGTACGACGAGAGATCTTGCTCCTCTTCTTCCTTGACCTCTTTGGCCTCCATCACTGACATATTGGGCAAGGCTCAGCGTGAGAATAGCACTTTGCTGGACTCGAACAGGGAGTTCACATTCAATACATTCAAATCGAACAACTTGGCGTGCAAAGAGGAGAATGGAACGTTCTATCGTACGCAAGGGTGAGTTGATTGATATTTGTATGATATTGTTGTGGATAAAGGTAATTCATAAAATGTTTTCTCTCTTCTTTTTTCTATGTTAGATACAACGTTGCAATTGGTCGAGAATGAAAAGAATTCTGTATCTTTTATATATTTTTTGCTTCGATCCAATCTTTGTCGATTATATATTCAATTTGATTTATATTCACTGAAACCTTTGTATTGTATAACAAACAATAAACATTATCGTAATGCTCAACTACTTTCGCGAGTAGAGAAAACTAGTAGAAAACACTATCAATCACGCGACATGAAAATCGATATGAAAACTTACTGTAGTATTTTCTGTATAAGAAAACAAAGAAGATTTTATGAACTTTTTGTATATAAATTAAGAACAATTATGAATCGATTCTAAAGGTCAAAACAAAGGTAAAAATTGATTTATAAAAATGTCGATTAAGATTTATTCATTAAGTTATAATCAGTTAAAGTTTGTGTTAGACAAAATGATAGAATCGTTTCACTTTATCACTGTTATTCTATGTTCATTTGCTTTCATCTGATAGAAACTTCAATTTCATGTATTTTTATATTTGTTTTACAATTAATTCTTCAAATATCTTGGTTAAAATATTCTGTATCAAATATTTTTCCATTTTGAAGAGAGCAAAAAAAAGAAACAATCACACCAAAAACATTTGCAATTATAATTAAAATAATCATTCAAATTTACAGGGAGGAAAACGCGAAAAGGCTCATTTTAAACGAGGTACCCCGCGAGAGCTTGAGACTAGATCTGGGTCCATCCTATCCCCCTCTAAGTCTGATAACACAGATGTCATTGAAACCCAAAGCAACGAGATCCAATCCATCCAGCCCATCCCTAGTGAAAGAGACCCTGACCAAACTGCCCAAGCATCCACATCTCTCCAAGATACGGAAACACCCGTTCATTTCCTTGACAAAGATGGACAACAGCCAGGAATTCTGCAGCTCTTACATATATCAAACCGGCCAACACTCGTCCGTAATTATTAAAAACGACATGTACGAAGTGGAGATACGCAGGAGGAGCGAGGACATTCCCTGCCCTTTTTCGCACCATAACTCCACGTCCGCGGCCGCTCACTACGACGTCCCCAGAAAATTCTTGTCCAAATCTGAGACCGAGATCTGGGCCAAGTGTCAATGCTCGAGAAGGGAGGAGCCAATTTACGACGTCCCGAAGTTGCAAAATATTGAGAGATCTAAATCCAGCGATTACGAGGAAGTTCTTTCCTCTAAAAGGAAGAACGCTGTGGCGGATCAAGAAGAGTCGGGCGAGAATTATGCAACCGCCGATAATGCTAAGAATTGTCTCAACGACGAGATGCGATTTAATATTTATGTAAACGAGAATTCCATTCAATTTTAATTTTGATTTTCGTATCTTTTTGATGATATTGATTTTTAAGATAAATTAGAGGAAGGATGCTCTCGAGGTATAGTTGTATAGCACACTATGCTTTTTCAAAATTTCTGAATTATATCTCCAGATTTTTAATATCGTTTTGATCATATTTTTATTATTTGATTTGCGATTGATTTGCGTGAATTGTCTTTGGATTGGAGACAATTCGTAAATGTAATTTTTTTTTAATTATTTATTTAATTAATTAATTATTAATTTATTATTTAAGAAATATTTCAAGCATTTGCATTAGTTGTGTGCATTATACTTTTAATAATATTAATTTTTGAATAAGCTTCGATATAAATTATTTTTAAATTTTAACTTTTCGATCATTTTTTTTATTAATCGACGCGTGATTAAATCCTTAATTGGAAATGACTATATATATTCGTATATTATAATTCTAATAGTATTGACATTTAGAGAATATCTGAGATGAATTATTGCTCCAGATCTTAATGCTTGGTTATATTTTTTTCTTTTTATTTTTTAATGAGATCGATGTGTGAGCATATCTAGAAATGACTCGTAAAAAGTAGAAATTTTTTTACAAATTGGTTATACTAATAATTAAAATTTTTAGCTTGTGATTCAAATTTTTGTTTTGAAATGAGCGAATATTTGAGATGCTCTCTGGATTAAAGTGATTTTTTAAAAATATTTTTAAAATTACTTAGATTATTTATCTGATCTGAAAAATCTGGTACATTTCATGAGAAATATGTCACGATGATTTTCGAAAATAAATTTTTTCTTATATATTAACTTTATATTTTAATTCGAAATCACAGATATCATAGAATTATTTTAATATTTTGAAAATCTATTTTTATAAATGCGATAATAGAATCGATACTAGAAACTGTAAATTGGATGGAATTGTAAAAAGTGTATCAACAATCTTATCATTTCTAAATGGAAATGTTCCTGTAATGACTTACATTTTGCTCAATGTCTTAGATTTTAGAACTTTTTCCCTTGTTCTCTCTAACCGAAAATATTAAAGCTTAGAATAATTCGCGTGGAACAATTAAGGAAGGAGAAAGAAAATAATGGTTTAGTATTTCTGTTAAGAAATATTTATAAAGGATTTAAACTATATATTAACGCTATATTTTGTGATGTTAAAATTTACCAGTATTGCATTAGTGTCATAAAATAATTGTAAGTGAAAAAATAATATATACGTAGACCGAGATTTCGATAAATTGTACAAATTTGTTCATAGTGCAATTTACGATATATGTATAATACGTATATACTTGTATTTCCTTTTTTTCAATAAAGATTCTTGCAATATTTTAAATCCGTTTTTATATATATATACAAGCAAATATACAATTATTCACAAGATGTGCCAAAAAACACTAATTTAAAAAATGTTAAGATAATTTTATAAAATTAAAATTGAAAAAAATGTGACATCTTGAATAATTTATTATCTTAATATTTGCTTATTTCAATAAAATTTTCAGAAGCAAAGGATAATAATAAGATAGATTCATTTAACATTTATAATATTTATCTTTATTCTTAATACATCTGTATCTATATTTGATTCTTTGATAAAATAGTTAGCAATGTATATTGTACCAATGTCAATATCAAAGCAATTATCTGTTTCCAGAGAACAGATTAAAGTGTCTTTAAAGTACTTTTTTCATATTTCAATAAGTTGCAATTTTCAATGATTGATAATCAAATGTTTGAATTATAAAATCAATTAAGAAAAGGACAAATCCATTTGTAACTATTTTAAGAAAATTAAAAAGAAAAGTACTTACAAATTATTGCTTTCACTTAATATTAAAAAGAAATAATAAATAAAATACTATTCCAAGAAATCTGTAGAATATAATTTAATATATTTATGAGACATTTTTGAAAAGTTGTCTATTATATTACTATTATTTTAGAATTGTTATTTGGAATTTTGATTAGGGCTTGTTTATTAAATTGCCAATTTATATCAATGGTACGAAAAGATTACTTCTTCAACAACTTTTAGTTAGTCGAACGAAGATGGTCTTTCATATCATAAAAAGATGAGGGAAGGATCGAATAACATTGTGACAATATGGATCGTTTCGTATGATGAACATTCGTAATTCTGTTGCAGTAAAGAAATCGCGGTTATAGGAATGAATGGCTCATAACGCCATAACGATAAAATCTTGGTGGAGAAGTAATGACGTAGAAGCTCGTATGCATTGTGTGACGTGGGTGATAAACGTGGGTGGATGATGGCAACCATTAACTATCCGTTGAAACGCAATGGAATGCACGTGGATTGTTCGATGGTGGGTGTAAATACGTGTCAAGGTTGGCAAATTTCGAAATCATCGTTGCTTTATACCTGTGATACAGAAAGAGATCAATGTCAAATATACGGAACTTGGAATTTTATTTAGAATTTTAATCGATACGAAAATTTGATTCATGCGTCATAACAATGCAATGGTATTGAATTGTGCGCAAAATGAAACGTCAATCATTCGACTTGGAAAAGTTAAAACAGAAGAAAAAAAACAATTATGTCCAAAAGACGTATATACTTACACATGTATGTATACTATAAATTTTAATTTAATTGTATCTCAAACTTATTCAAATCTATCCAAGAATAACGTAGAATAATTTAAATTATATCTTTGAAATTAATGTTGTATTATTAATAATACTATTTATTAATAATTGTACTATTAATAATAAACGAAATTGAAGTATTAATCCTGACTAATATCAAAGTTATTGAAATTAATAAAATTAATCACTCACAAATAATTATATAAATAATTTCAACTTGCAATTTAATTATTTTCCTTATTTATTCACTTATCTACCTCAAAGACTTAGGAGAAATAATTTAAAATACTATTAAGTATATTTCTGAAAAATATATTTGTATTTTCTTCCCATATAATTACCAAAAATATCTAATGTAGTTATTTAATTATTATATAATATATATAATAATATATTTAATATATAATATAATATATTTAATTATTATATAATTCAGTTAACATTGATCAAAAATAATCTAAATTTTGTCACGATGCATTTACAGTTTATACAGTCATGTAACCATAATACGTAGATTCACACGTAAATGTAGATTCACGAGCTTGTATTTGGAACATCTAGATATCTCAATGATAATGCCGATAATTAGTCACTAATTACACGTGTCACATGCATGAAACAATGAAATATAATAACATTACAGTTTCTAAATAGATGCGTAATATTTAATATTTAATATTTTAGACTTGTCTATTGCAACAATAACAAATTTAAAATTTATAATTTTTATAACTTTTATTGGTAGAGAATAAAATCGTTGTCATTTAATAACAACTTTCCATTGATATACTTTTACTTTTTAAATGCATTTTTAAATTGATATTTTGATCTGAAATTCTTATACCACATTATAATTCAATATAATTTAAAATCATTTTTCTAAAATAATTTTTAAATTATTACTGTTGAATAATTGATACAATAAAATGTATAGGAATATTTATAATTTAAAGAAATTATTTCAAATAATTTTTTCTTTTATAATATATTATTTATATGTTTCATCTTTGTATTTGTATTTTGAATTTTTTCAAGTAGTATTAATAGTAATAATTCGCTCGTTATCAACAGTATTATTTCAGATAATATATTAAATTTTATATTTACATCGTCGTTGAAGTAAATATTCAAGAAGAATATCTTTTATCTTAATTCAATAGAATATTCAATTTGTAACAATTCTAAATATAATATTCAGGGGAAAATTTATTTTCTTCCCCCAAGAAAAGAATATCGGCTCTTTATTAAAATTCCCTGTCTTTCAAGAGAAAAGTTTTCCTCTTTCAACCTTTTCAATTACAAGTTGCACCTTAACGAACCTCGTCGCCAACTATTAATTAAATTGTAAACGCGCTTTGTCCATTTACAAGTGAAATTCTCGAGAATTGCTTTCGATCTCTTCTTGCTTACGATCGATGATAAATCAACGCGTCGATTTAACGAAAATTGCGATCATCCTTCGCATACACATTGATATGAAATATGAATTACATCTGCTTTTGGCAGCCAATAAAATCGAATGAATCGGATCGTTTGCATTGCATCGCAATTGGATTACCAATTAATTATCGAACGACGTTTTCAAAGGGCCGTCCATGTCGATTCTCCCCGAGCAGAAGATACACCACCACATACGAAACTGCTGCTGATCGACAATTTGCCTTTATTATATCTCTTGTTTATGCCTCCGAAATTCAAGCATAATTTGACGAGCGTTCACCCGTTCGTATCGATTCGATCACAAGTTAATTAAAGCGTCATTGCGATACATCCCTTTCCAATTTGTCCATCTATTTTCCTTGATCGATCGTGTTAATTCGCATTGACTTATAAACGGCGTGAAATATTGATCGATCGTAATTATTTATATTATTTACGAAAAAAAAAATAACTTTAATCTCGATGATATTTTTGATAGATATATTGTCAAGTTCTTTTTAAATTGTGAAGATTTTAATTGACAATTGTTGTTCATTACAGAGACTGAATGAATTTTTATTCAATTTTGATTCGAGATGAAATTAAACTTGGAATTAACATAATATAATAAATCAATCGATAAAGATTTATTCAATTTATATGTATCGAGTTTGGATAAAAAAAAATTTTAAACTTTTAACAACGATTATGGAATAAAAATTCTCGCGACGTTATTTGTTTCTTGACGATATGTTAAAAAAAAAAAAAAAAGAAAAGAATTATCGAGATTAAAGAGTAGTATCTTATTGTAAATATTTAAGGGATTCGTTAGCCATTGGATTTCGAATAACAATTTTCTGTAAGGGAGAGAATTGTCTCGAGGAGACCCAAATCCCTGGAAGATTAAGATTTATGAAACACTAACCACCTAGGAAACGTACATCGAAATCCAGGCAACTCCTTCATCGGTTTAACCTTTGTTTCCATCGGAAAGAGCAAACTTGTCTCCACAATGACGCGAGAACAATTTAAATCCCAGATTCAGTATACAACTTTAGCCTTTAGAAAACTTGGGGATTAAATTTTCTTGCTTCCGTCTTCTACGCCGATATTCATAATCCTTCGTCGTTCTTACTTATGATTCGTGAAGTTTTGACGAAGTGAATGGAACTTTTGTTAGTTACGAGAAAGTCAGACTTAGGGATTATTCAAGGGGATTGAAAAAATAATTATTAAAATAGCGTATTGTGTTTAAAATAATCAGATGTTATTGATGAAAAGCTTTTGGCCAAATGCGATATTGAAGGAAATTTATTAAAAATAATTGTAATATGTTAAATTACAAAGAAAGAAATAATTTCTTTTTTATGAATTTACAAAATAAAATTTACAAAAATTTTCTTCTTTTATTGACTAAATATTTTTTTTTAATTAAATTAATTTGGTTTTCCACTATATAACATTCAAAATTTCAAATCTTTTTTTTTTATATTAATTCATATCATATAATTTATCTAATCCACTGTAAATGAAAAAAATAGTTTAGACAAAAATTGAATGATTTCAGACAGATATTAAATAGTATAATTAATTTTTCTTTAGATATATTTATAAAGATCATATAAAGATGACATATATTATTTAAAGTGTTTAAACATTAAAATTTAAAAAAAATTTACATATATGTATATATACATATACATACATTCGTATAATAGAAAATAAATTAATAGAAAAAGATTAACCTTCCTTTTGTGAAAATTTTTTTAACCCTTTTCTAAAATTAATCCAAAAAACAAATGTAGTGTCGCCAATAATAAAATTCAAAGAAGCAGGGAAACAATTAAAGTTACCATTGGTATTTTAATAAAATAAGTCATGAATCCCATAATGAGCTTAATAAAGTTACACCGGTACAAGGGAGAATTGGCATGCAACGACGATGGTTGCGTACAGCAAAGAAGAGGAAAAGGTCGACAAAACGAGGGAAGAAGCAATTTTCCAGGTTGATGGCCTAGAAAATTGCTGTTGCGTATCTGTGTCCAGTGGTACTCAATGATTTTTTTATTTTTTTCTTTCTTGTCCGTGATGATGGGATAAAAAGGTTTTTCTTTAAATTTGGCTCACAAGTCATTAAAAAATTCTATTTTCTATCTTTTTATTCCCCTTTCTCTGCGACGAGAGACATTTTACGAGTTCGTATGGATTTTGTATAGACATATAATTTTTAATTCATTCATAACTTTAATAGAGTGATTCGAAGACCCATCTCTCGTAAACTTAACTTTATTGCGGAAACTAATAACTACATCTAGTGATTTTCCTTGGAATTGTAAAATTCTTTATAAGGATTAATGGATACAATGGATGAGTTCAACGATAATAACGAAGGTAATAGGCAACTATTATTTTGAAATGATATTCTAAAGTTTATTTAGGAACACGATTGACAGGATTATATGAAAATTTTGAAATATTTAATTGTGCATATATTTCAATTATTTTAAATCTATATTAATATTGTACAATAAAATTGTTTACATATTTATTAAATCAAATAATTCATCATCCATAAGTGATCACTATCATTATTTATATTTCCCTTGGGATTTAGATAACATTTCACTTCTTCAAATATACACATATTATTTACAAATTAATAATAATATTGTTTGTTAAAATCAAATAATTTGCAATTCATAAATAAATTTATTTGCTTTAATTAATATAAAAAGAAATTATTATTTTCAATTAATTGTATATCTAATATAGTTTAAGATATAATGTATGTTTGTATATAAACATTTTTATTTGTTATTTCAAATATTATTATTGATAATTATAAATAAATTGATACAAGAATACATCAATTTTTTTTGAGAATACATCAATTTTTTTTAAATTTGCATTTTCATTTCAATATCATCCAATTTTAATATATTCCACTATTTAGATTACGTCCTTTACTTATTGGGTAAAAGCGTAACAAAGAGAAAATTGTCGCACCTGCTCACTGTAACAAATTCCTTAACAATTCCTATCCAATCCGAGTGTAAATTTCACGAAAAAAATCGATTCTCTTAAAATTTAAGAGAAATCTTTTGGCAATTACAAATTCTCATGCAAATACCATATATTAATATTGATTTATAAAAATATTTTAAAGAATATTTATCATAGAATATATATGAATATTAATATGATTTGAATATTATACAAAATTTTAATTAAAATAAAAATCTAAAATCTAAAATAATTTATATAATTGGTAAAATAAATTCAAAAATATAAGAATCTTATTTTAATCTCTTCTCCAAATATATCGAATAATATTAAAAATATAAAAAAAAAAAAATGCTTGAGACAAAGAGAGTTCGATCCTACTGTCATTCATTTGACCTTGAACCTAAAAAAATCAACAATTCAAATATCATATTACAATTCAAACAACAATTCAAATATCAACAATACAAGTATCAATATCAACAAATCAAGAATCATCTCTTATCCAATTATACCTCCAATTATGGAACACTCTGTATATTCCCTAATGCTTATTCAACATGTTTGCATGCATTACTTACCAGAAAGTAGTTTCAAGTATGTTTGATCATCTAGATAGCAAATACGTGAGAAAAATATTCGACGAATAATATTTGTCCAAGACGATAGATTTAATTAATCTTATCGGGATTCTTCAAGCTTGAAGGAAATTGTAAAAGAATTATCAGATATGTTGATATCACACGGACTATCTGTAAAACAATATTCTTCTTGAATAATTAATCCTTTTTTGAATATATTGTTAAACAGTAAAACTGACTTTAAACTCTATTCGAAATAAATTAAATCACAGTTAAATCATTATTGATTTAAATTATCTACGAAATGTTATCTCGAAATTAGATTATCAACGGATTCATTAGAAATTCGTTTCGATAATGAATGGGAAATTGAGGAATAATTTGTGATATCGTTTTCAAGATAATTTCGTGATGCAATTTACGATATTTTAACATTTGAAAGCCATAGTTATTAAGCTCAATTAATCTTGCGATTAATAGTGGACAAAGACGCGAAATTGGAACGACCGAGAAATAAATATGGATTTTCTTCGGGTTAGTTCGTGTGAGTAGAGTATCGTTTTCAATTAAGAGTTTATCTTTTTGTAGAAAATGAACTTACCGAGCAGAGCAATGACAATTTGATATCGAAAAGACCACCAGCGGAGAAACGAAGACGTCTGTTTAATAAGTATAACGAAGTACGAAAACTATCCTGTGTAAGGTATAATAATTAATATAATTTTTTAACACACGAAATAACATTATAGATACTTGCTTCGTATGGAAATTTTTGTATTGTTCTTGCATCCCATTCGATGAGAATGGCGCCCATAAAATTAGCCTGGAATTAAGGATTTTGCGATCAAAAATCTGTGGTGGATGAAAAAAAGTATAGGAGAAATGGATAATATCTGTATACAATTAATTTATGCAATAATTTTTATTAATGCAATAATTAATTTATTTTAGATGTTTATATTCACAAATATAAGTTATTAATAGAAGTTATATAAAAAAATGAAACAAATATTTTAAATAAATTGACAGAATTTTTATAATTTTAAAAGATTTGATATTATTCGTATTAACTAAAAAAAAATGAAATTAATGAAATTACAAATATGTTAAGCTTAAATAAATAAATATGTATGTAAAAAATAAAGTAAATATTAGCAGAATATAAAATATTAAAATAATATTTGTATAAGTCACTTTGCTTATTTATTGCACGAATTAAAAATTTCATTATTAAAACTTATTCAGAAAATAGAAGAAACCATGCTATTGAAGTTATTTTTTGTTTCATTCCAATATTTCAATTCATTGTGGAGATATAAGGATTTAAAGTATCTATAGTGCTTAAACAATGCAGAGTTTATGAATGGGCCTGTGAGACCCATGATCTACTTATTTCTTGGAAATGCATGCATATCTTCCAGGAATCTGCACTTGTCTGAAGGTTGGGATAGATCAGTGAGACGACGTGCGAGCGAGAGATCCGAGTGTACGATAAAGACGAAAATAAGAAATGACTAAAAATTATCTTTTCCTTTACACGATGATATCTCGAAAACCGGAAGTCGTATCGAGATAAATCAAGAAGCATTTTAAAGAGTAAGGTTTCACGTTTCTAATGATCTTTCGTTCATTGACTGAAAATCACTATCTTCGAAGTTACAATGATTTAAAGTTTGCCTAATTTTAATAGAGTTCAATCGAGTTCTAAGGAAAATTACATGATAGATATATTTATTTACAGAAAAATAATTTGAAATGACTTATAATGATCTTATTAATAATATATTAAATTAATTTGAAAATTATTCTTTTCTCGAAAGTTATTCTTTTCTCTATCTTTTGTAAAATTATTATATTTAAATGAAATCAATATTACCTCGTTTATCGTATAATCGCAAGCGATATGAAGGGCTAAAAGTTGAGTTATAAATCCGATCAGCCAACACCACATGTTAATAATGAGAGGCCAAGCAATGTTGGTCCAGGGTGTCAAGATGACCCAATCGATGATGAAATACAAATTGCTGACACTGTGTATACTCAAATTTCCAAGCCAGAACAATAGCGACCACGAGTAAAGAGAACCTAGTGTCTCGCTAGATAGCATCAAATCGTTGTGTAAATCTTGGATTGTCTTGCTCGAATAAACAAGAAACATTTTTATTAGTTTTTTTTACAATATGATGGGATCAAGTTCAATTTGTCAAAAAATTTATTTTGTAAAATTCAAATGCTATTAACAGAGTATATATAATAATTTATTCAATATTTTGCAAAATATTAATTTTAATTTTTCAAAATTTATAAGTTATAATGACAATAACAAATGATGTTTCTAATTAAAAAAATTAAAAACTATTTTAAGAAACAGATTAAAATACAATTAAATTAAAAGAATAACTAAGAAAGAATTGAAGAAACTATGAAGAATTTTTAATTCTACTTTTGGATTACTTTGGACTACTAGAAAGTTTAAATCTTTTTCAGATTCGAATTTAAGTACAGTATGACTTCTTTTTTTCCAAATATCTATAAAATATTCTAAAAATTTAATCTGTCCATGTTCAAATCTACTTGATCACTATTTTTAGAATGCTAAACACAATTTAAATTAACTATATATAAATACGCTACCTTTTTGCTGATGTTGCTACTTTTATATCCAACTCTGGGCGGTAAATTCTCTTTCGCGATTTGATTGAGCTGATGGAAACGGAGGCCGAGAATGCTTGCCATTCCGAAAAATTTGTACACAGCTGTCGCACTACCGATATAAATACACATGTAACTCACGTTAAACGTCCACGTCTCTTCGAAAGCAAACATCCCACTCTGATTAACAGCCGTCCAAATAACGATCTGACTCGCCAAAAGTATCCAAGTCGCGATCTTGATCTTGGTCTCTTTTCGTGGATAGCCTAATTGGCTGAGCCTCTCGTCGAAATCTTGTTGAGCGTTCCAAATTCGGCTGAACGTTTTCCTCGTGAATATCGTGGAAATTAGATCGTACATAGCCACGAGGTAATTGACGGTTACCTGCGGTAACGTTAACACTGTGGAAACCATAAATTGCCCTATCTCGGCCGTAAGATTGCGCGAAATGTGAGAATTACCTTGGTCGTTTCCACCACGCTGAGAATCGCTTTGTCCCTCCTTACGTTGAGGAATCTTCTGTACACGATGTACATGATGCGGCAATAAATACCAATAAAGGCGAACGAGAACAGGAGGCAGACGTTCGAGGGCGTTATCTCGTCACCCGTGAAATCGTAGGGCGCCAAACCGAACACTTTCATTATGCACACAACGGGGTAAATCGCCGAATACAAGAGCGAGTCGGGGCCGTGATATTTTCTTTTCTGCTCTTTTCTCGCTAAAGTTACTTCCGCGAAAGTAGTTTCAACGTCGAATGGTTTCAACCGTGGCTTTGTTAATGGAAGAACTTTTTTCGCCGGATAACGCGCCAATTCTTTTCGGATGGATTTCATCATTTTTTATTAATAATAAATCGTACCACGGAAATATTCATCTGTAAAAGAAAAAAAAGGGGGAAGATCGAAGATAAGTTTCAGAAGAAAATTTTGGAGAAAATAATGTTTTGAGAGTGCTTTTTATTATTTGTATGTGATTGGAACGAAATTTTTTGAATGGATAATAAAAATGGACAGAGAAGAATTGGATTTTGGAATAAATAAAATTTTAAAACATTGTGTTTTTTGTGTTCTGAGCTTTTACATAAATTTTATCAACTAATAATTAGAAAATTAATGAATTAGAAAATTAAATTAAGAATTATTTTTTTATAATTATATATCAAATAAAATAATCAGATGATTGAAAAAATTTGATTCTTACGATATTATAAGTCTCTCCATTATTTTGTAAATAAGTCAAAGTTTTGAAAAGTTAGAATTTTAACATTAGAAGACTTTCTGTAAAATTTTATAACTGATAAAGTACCACAGTGTGAAGTACAAGTATGCACGATCAATCTCGACCATTCTGAAAATAACAAAAGTATAAATAGCAAAAAAAAAGGAAAAAGAATAATTTAATACATGTATCAATTACTTACAGATTGAAATCCATAAATTAAAAATATCTTTTAGCAACATAAGACCAATAAAGGCGAACGAGAAATAAATCGTCATAATTCATAATTTACAAATATAATTATTCGTATTATTCGTGAAAAATTCGATGGAAAATCATTTGGATTACCTGGTAACACAGCTCTTCAGAATTTAACTATTCTTTAATGAGGATCCAGTTAAACTTTGAAGAGGAATTGCGATGCACGATCATTCTCAGTGTCCCGATAAATGGTCGAACGTTTCCGAGCAACCGTATAAATAACAGGGAAAACAGAGTTTCCCATCGGCCGTGATAAAGCAAGAATTAATGCCGTTTGTCCAAACAGTCATATATGAAGGTAGATTTGCAGCTGACTGTACGATCAGGAAGCGTCCTCCTTCCAATCATCGTTGAATTATGAATAATTGAACGGCTAAAGTAGAATAACAAAACGCTTAAGCGGATTTACCTTCTTATCGAACAATACTGATGCATTTGTTACCTATTTTTTTTTTCAGGGAATTCCTGTAAATCACGAGCTTTTATTGATTTCTCGTTCATGTAATGGCTATTAGAGTATGATGGATCACCAATTTAGTTGGACAAAAATGTATTTTCATGATTATTGTGACGAGTTATTATAAAAAATTATAAAAAATATATTATAAAAAATTTAATACGAAGGAAAATGTTTAAATTTATTAATTCCTTGAATATAATGCTTCATCAATGATGAAATGTGTTCCATAATGGCACAAATTTTTTAACGACATTTATGTCATTTACTTTACTTAACTTTGTTTATATTTATTTTATTTTATTCTTATTATATTAATAATACTTTGATAAATAATATATTTAAGAATTTTAAAAATATAAATATTATTTCCTATCTAATGATTTTGATCTACAATGTATATGTATGTATTTGACATAAATATTTGAAAAGGATTAAATGAAACTTATGATTATGATCATATTCGTCCAAAGTTGTTCGCTCCACGAATTTGTGATATTCGTTTTCGTCAAATCTTCATATCTTCATATCTTCTGTTGTTAGCTCGATCTAGAAAATATTATTTTTTTAATAATTCCATTCCACGAAATATTTGAATTTTTTCAACATGTCAAGCTTTGAAAGTTTATATCTTGATAATAACTTATATTAAAAGATATATGTGATAAAAAATATATATTTCAATTTAAAAATTCGACGTTAATTTTTGCAAATTCAAGATTATCACAAAATTAAATAAATAACAATAATATCCATCTTTTCTAATATCGTATAATTTTGAAATATTTTTTCAGATCTTCCATAGTTTTGGAAAAATAAAAGAAAAACACTTTTTATATATAGTTATATATACCGGATAGTTCATCCAACTTTTTTGAAACAGATTAAAATAATATATTTTGTATACAAAATTATATTGGATATACAAAATAATTGTATAATGATTCACTTAACTTTGTTTAGAATATATATTTATTCTTAATAATATTAAAAGATATATTAGATAAAAATGATCTTAACATCGTATAAACATCATATAAAGATGATTATTTATTTCTAAATGAAATTATATAGTTTTTAATACATTAATAAATGTAAGTCATTATTTTCTATTTTCTATTTAAAAAAATATTAAGTTTTTTATGTTGAAAAATAATTAATTTAAAACATATTTTAACTTGAATTTTTATAAAACTTAATATAATAAAACGAAAAACAAGAAAAACATTTTTTCCTCGAAAACATTCAAGTTTTATCGACATTTTTTTAATATTATCAAAAACAAACAAGCTATTCCAAATAATAAATAAAAATTAAATGAATCACTTTATATATTATTTTTATAAAAAAAAATATATTAATTTCATGTAAGAATATTAATATTATTCTTATTTAATTTAAATAGATTAAATGATAAATATAATCTAATTCTTCATTTCAAATTTTATTCAACCGGATTAGCAATCTATCACATTGTGGGCCGAGAAATAATAATGCAACATCACTTGCGTCATCGCATTGAAATCCAAAATATAACCTAAACGACACGCGTCTGTATACAATTCTAAACAATTAACTGTGCATTCGTGAATATTCTCTGTCGTTTATTTCATGCTATGAAAAAACAATCGTTTGTTATGAAAATATTTATCAACGAGTTACCGACTTTATTTATTTTTCGTTACCTTATCGCTTCTGATCGAGTTAAAAATGCAACAATCAAATCAATTTATGAAGAATTCACTTTTCGTCAAAATCTATCGTATTCTGATTCATTTTGAGTGATGATGTTCGATCATTAGTGGAATCTGTCCTGTCCGAATGTTGCTAATGGCGTGAGAATACGAAATCCATTAATCAGATTTTCTCCATCGGCTGATGAAGCTTTCACACGTATTGTAACGTGTCTGCCTATTTCTCTAATCGCATTATCTCATGAGTTAGCTATGTGTGAAATAGATTTTGACTTTAAATATATAACAAATTCGCTTAAAATTATTTTGCTCGCTGATAAAAGCGCAGGCGTATCTAAATTATAACGATAAGTCGCATTCGACTCTTTAAGGATATAATCGATCGCGAAAAGCGGAGCAGAAGGTAAAGAAGAAATGTCGAGAATGATAAAAAACAAAAAATATGAAGCGGAGTATTAGATGAAAATTTACGATGTAAAGTGTCTCGTCAGGACGACGCCCCGGAGAAATGCAATTTAACTCGGTGTGCAAGATGAATGATATTCATCGAGCGGTCAATGCACAAGCTTGACTGTGCATATCCAGGAAAATAAAAGCTCTTTGTATTCTATTTTCCTGGAAAATTGCTTTCACATGAAGCTATGAGCTAAATTTTTTGTATAAATATCACATTTTGATCATTCGTCATTGGAACACTGACTTTAAATATTTAGAATGGGAATCACTTTACTGATTTTGATTGGTTTTGAAAACAAGATTTTATTTTATCTAATGCAAATTTAAATTATTTATATATTATTACCATTATATATTACTATTATTTGATTCTAATTTTCGAATATTCAGCAAAAATATTTTTAATATTACATATCATATTAACATAAAAATTTCAAATATAGTTTCAAATAAAATCTTAAACTCAATATCAAATCTAAATTCAAACTCAAAAAAAATATATATGAGAAGGAATAAGAATAAAAAATTAAATTTTTTTAAGAAAATTCTTATAAGAATTCGAATAAATTGTTCATATTTCGATCTTTATAATGATTGCCAAACTCATTTTCATCCATCTTTTTTTCCATATTTTTTACATTTTATAATTTATTATAAATATATAATTATTATAATTTATTTAATCCATTAATCCAAGAATCAATCAATAAAACAATGCAATTTTTATAAATATTATTATTTATTACTTACCAAAATACGTAGGAATAAATATAATGTGAATAAAATTTTTTCATATAAATTTGTTATAATAAAATTTACATGATTTTTAAAATGTTTCTAGTGTATCACTTTTTTGATATAAATAAATACTATAGAAGAATCTAATACATAAATTCTCATTCCAAATTATTCTAATTTTCTTCACCGAATCTGTAATCCTTGTCGATTTTGTAAAATAACAACTTTTTTTTTAGAAAATTGCGCGAGAAATAAGGAATAACAATTAAAAACGATGCTTTAAGTTTCCAATCGGTGGACTACTCTGAAAATAGTTCCAAGTAATTGCATAATCGAGAAACGATATCCGTTCGATAATCGAAAATTAACAGTGAATCCAGCAACTATGTCCAATTAAGAAATAACATTACTCTTCTTATGTAAAATCATTAATTATCATTGATGTTTTAAAATGATGTCACGAACAAAATAAGCTCGAAAATGACTATGAAGAGAATAAAAGAGAAATTATTCGAATGGGCTTGTAGAGAACATGCAATGAATAATTCTTTCGACAAGCTTCTACTACGAGAAAAGGCTCTCGAACTGACAAAAAAATATGGTGTCAATGGTACTTTATTTTCTTGATAAAATTTTATTTTATGTATAAAAAATTGATAATTGATTCATATATATAAGAGATAAAATTTTCATTTTATAAATATAATAATTTGGAAACTATTATGTTTACTATTATGTATTTACGTTTACGATCAAAATTCTTACAAAATTCTAATAATTTTATATATTTATTTAAAATTATTGAATAATAGTTGTTATAATAATCAGGAATCAAAATTAGGTAAAGTTATGCAGAAATAGAATATAATAATAAGTGACTTCTATAACAATGTGTATTAACCTAAAAAAGAAATATTTTACTTTACTATACGATAAAGTGTGAAGTTATATGTGATATGTGATATGTGAAGTTATACGTATATGGTATTTTTGACTATTGGTATCACATTCTAGTATTAATTACTATTAGTAACTTTTATTCAAAGTTATAACTAATTATTCTTCGAATAATCTCAAATTGCAATTAGATATATTTAACGATTAATGATTTGAATGATAAATAGTTTATTTAAAATTTTAGTTGATAAATTTTCAACTATGCTTTTGATACATAGATATATATTTCGATTATGATTTTTTATGAAATTTTTTTATTTATAAAAATTGCATTCATATAAAATAATATGTATTGAATTGTTTGTCATGTTTATTTTGATTTATTATTAATTATTAATTATTTATTTTGAATTATTTTCATTCCTATTACTTTTGATCTCACTATATATATGTAAATATAGCTAAATTGAAAAATTATTTTATATTCAATATTTATTATATATATATGATATAATATAATGATAATGTATAATGATATATTCATACATGTACATGATACATGTACATATTCATACATGTACATGATAATGAAACATCTTTAGAGGATAAATTCTAAACAAATACAAAAATTAGTATACAAAAGCCTTAATTGTTAAATTATAAGCAATTTAAATTTGCATTAAATGAAATGAGATGAAAAAAAAAATTGTTTCATTTTATTTCTATTCTGCATAAACTTCAATTGCTTATAACTTAATAAATAAGTTTCCACTAATTTCTATACTAATTTTTATGTTTGTCCTCTAGAATCGATTCTTAAAGATATTTTACGAATATAATGATATCTATATATATATTCAAACAAAATAACTTAACTTATATTATATAACTTAACTTATGTGAAATATCTCACTTGTTTTTAATAATACTAAAAAATCTTAAATAAAATTTAAATAATTTTGAGATATGCATATTCTAGTTTTATTATTTTTTTATTAATATTATTTTTTTTTTTCGATTAATATGCAGAGATTATATGAAGATCATTGATACTTTTTAAAATAAAATCATTCAATTTTAAATGCATTAACCAATACAACTTGTTTATTTGTTTATAAAAATATTTGTTACAAAAGAATATTAAATTATTTATATAAAAAAATCATTAATTTAGAGAAAAAATTAATTTATAAATTTTATAAAATTCAATTCTACTAATGATTTTTCCACATAAATAGTTCAATTCTGTGTGAAACAACTCTATAATATAAAATATTCTTCAATATTGTCAAAAACATGTGAAATATATGATTCAGATATTACCAAATATGATTAAATTATTTTGTTTATTCTGTTTATAATTTGTATTATTGTATTTGTATTATTGTATAATATACATATAGGTTTCAGATGTTCGGATAAATGGTTGAACAATTTTTTAAACGATCATGGTTTTTCTATCGATTTGACGAATATAATATTTGCCGATTATCGCAAATGGATCGATCTGATGAGATCGACGATAATCAAGTACAGACATAAAGATTTTTTTCATGCGGATGAATTGACCATGTATTCAGATGTATTTCCTTCAGAGATTTCGTGTAATGACGTTAAAAATCCAAACTCAAACAATGCATCGAGAAATAAAATTATCATTTTGATGAGTTGTAACTCAACGGGGACGACGAAATTGCCACTCTTGATCTGTGGACCATATCCATCCAAAATAACAATGAAAGAGCACATTTACTGTCACAACAAAAATTCTCATATTGGAAATGAATTGTTCAGAAATTGGTTGTCAAATGTAAACGATCATATGATAAAGTGTAATCGAAAGATTTTGCTATTTCTACAACGAAACAGGATGCGCGCACTCAAGGATTTCGTGGCGAGCAATGTACAACTCGTTTACTTTCCTGAAGATTTCCCGTCATTTTTACGACCATTGCGGAGAGACGTTTTTCATTACATCAAGATGGTTTTCAGACGAAGGTAAATCTCAAGAGAAAGGCTTTTTTTGAAAACTCCGAAACTAACTCTTCAAACATTTCTATGCGCGATTTTGGAAAAATTTTTTAATATTCGATTATATTAAATACTTATTTAAAAATAGAAATATGACATTTCTATCTTAATTCTATCTTAATTTAATTTAATTTAATTTAATAAATTAATTTCATATAGAATCATATATTCTATAATATTGCATATAATTAATATAATTATTACATCAAAATTAAAATATATATTTTTTTATCAATAAGTATTTAGAATAATTGAATCTCAATATCTTGAATCTTAAAACAAAACTTCTTAAAAAACTTCTCAAAAATTTAAAAATCTTCGAGACTTTATCATATTTTCAAATATAGTCAGATAATTTTCATTGCACTAATTAATATAGCTTTTTATTTTCTACAAAAAAAAATATTAAATTATTTATACTGAAAAATTAATTTAGAAAAATCTAATTTAAAAGATCTTATAACTTGTATTTAGATAATTAAAATAGATATATATATAAATAATTAAAATAGATACATTACATAATTCTTCTATTTTTGAATTCAAATGATAAAATTCTGATAACATGATAAATTGATGTGAATAAATATAATTATAATTTTTTTTCAATTAATTTAATTTCAATTAATTTAAATGATTTCTTTTTTAATTAAAAATGGATGTACATTACCTCATTTAATATTATATAATATATACATTATGTAATGTAATAGCAATGTTATCTAACGCAATGTAATAATAATAATAATATATATTTATCTTAAATTTTTTCTTTATGAAATATTTGTAAAATGTTTGTTAAAGATATGCAGAACGATTGAAGGATACTATGGAATGGAATCTTCATGATATTTTAACATCTTTAATCGAAGCATGGGAGACGATACCACGAGAGCTTATCATTTTTAGCTTTCAAAGAACACGTTTTAGAACCGATGATTGCTTTCTACAAATTAATTGTGATTGCTGGGATAACTTGAAAATGGGCATATCATTTAAAAAATTTGTGATGTTCGATGATAATCTTTTGGATGAAGAAATATCACATGAAAAAAATAATTACAATCTTCGTAATCGTAAAAACATAATAGAAATTAAGAAAAATAACTCAAATTCTAATTTAAAGATTACAAAAAATAATGAAAATATGATTCAAAAACTATCAAATAAAATCATTAAAAAATATCGATCATCAATGCCTTCGGAGGTAAAAAATTATACGGATCAAAAATTAAACTGTCCTATAATAACGAATCATGAAAAAAAATGGAATGATCATATAAAAAATAAAAAATTGAAAAAAAATCTAATTGATATGAATATTAAACAGAAAAAATCTCGAAAAAGAACTTACAATGAAGCTCAATTTGTTAAAAAGGAACAGAATAGAAATCAATATGTGATCCGGCAGGAAAATATTAAAAACTTTGTACCGAAAGATTCCAACATTGCTTCTTCAATGTTGAAAAGAAAGAAATTCCAAAAGGAAATACCTCAAAAACAAGACCCAGAAGTGAATGAAATCCAAGAATCTCATCAAAAAGACAAAGCTTTGACTTTATTGTCAACTACAAAAGTTAATTATTTAAACGATCTAATTGATAGTAATAATAATATTGATGAGGAAACCATAAAGAACAATAACAATTCATCACAATTTCAATTTTTGAATAATAAACAAGTTAATACAGATTCGGAGTGTGCGAATAAAATAATTACAAATTTTTCCACCAATTTTTTAAACAATTTTAATCAACCATCAACATCAACGAATAATTTAAACGTTTTATCTCAAGAAATCGCTGAACAAATTGCTTCTAATAAAATATTAAAAAAACAAGTTTTCGAAATATCATTTGTTAATGCATCTGAATCACAGAAAGGAAATCATGATAAAAGCCAAAATTTAAATTTACCCATAAATAAAAATGCTTTGAAAATTATGAATTTCTCTAAAAAGAAACAAAATTCTTTGAATCTAAATAATCCTGTAGATAATTCTGAAATAGATGAACCAAGAACAAAGAAATCGAGAACAGATCATAATTGGTACAAACAATTCGAAACCACTTTTGTTTTTGGTTCCCCAGATGTAAATTATCCTTCAGACATTCAGCAAGATAAAAAAGATATTGAATCGTGTATTTTTAGTATAAAACCGTCTGTTTATCCGAAAAATTAAAATTATTATTATGATCTTTTAAATCATAAATTTTGTAAATTTCATTTCATTATTTTTTACTGATTTAAAGTAAAAAAATAAAATATTTAAAAAAGCAATATTGTAAAAAATTGATCTAATCATAAATAAAAATCATTTTCAAGAAGAAAAATATTGAAATATTATTATTTAATATAAAAAATACAATTCTCTCAATATTTGATACGATATCTGATGATAAAATGAAATTTTATATCAATAATTCATAAATTTTATATCAATAATTTGTTGTTTCAATATCACTATTACAAAAATGGAATATCAAAGCTGATACAAAGTTATTTAATATATATAGATATATTTTCTTTTAATGTATAATTAACAATTCATTAACAATTCAACACATAATTTCATAATTCTAGTGCTCATAGAATATAAGATATACACATTTGATATTTTTATTTTTACTATTTTTAATATTTTTTTTTTATTTTTTTAAGCGAAATCAAATCAGTATACTTTAATTATTATCATAGAATGTTTATAATGTCACATTCACTTGTTATCAATTAAAAATTGCACATAATATTTAATATATATCTAAAATAATAATGTATATATGAATATATTTATTTGTCAAATAATTTAAATACATTTTATTTGTCAAAAATATAATAAATTTTTATTAATTTGTATGAAAATTAATTTGTATGACAATTCTATGAAAAATAATTTTTAAAATTATTTTTTTTAAATTAACAAAATATTTATACGAGAAATAACTGATTTTAAGAATTAAATTATTTTAAAAATTAATTATCTTAGGTACAAAATAAAAACATAATTTTTTATTTATAATTAGTTTATGTCATAATATATATATTATGATTATAATATTTATAATCATAACATAATCAGTTCAAACTAATTAATATTTCTATAAAAGTGAATGGTAATAATCATATTTATCTCATTCTAATAATAAATTATAATTACCTATATCAATATAAACTTCTAAATCAAAAGATAGTAGGTATTATTCAATTATATTATAATGAAATAAAATTTGTTTTACTAAATATATATTATCTTAAAAAATCAATTATGTCTATATCTGTTTATATTATATTATATTTTTTTTCTAATTTTTATATTAAATGATATTTAAGGAACATATTTTACAATATATATTTTAATTGCAATACATTTATATATACATATATAATTTATAATATATTAGATTTATATTAGATCTTTCTATGTATTCGAAATTAGAAAAATCATTATTTCAATTTTTAAAAATATTAATATTATATTAATGAATCAAACATGAAAAATAATAAGGCAAAAATAAAGTTTCTTTAATAAAATTTATTCTATATGTATTATTTTAAAAATTCAATTAGTGATTTATTTTTTTTTTATGTATACTTTTTAATTAAAACAAATAACATACATGGATTATTTATTATTGATAAATTACAATACTAAGAATTCTCTCTAATATATTACTATATTTTATATCAAATTTTCATATTAGAGCTTGTGATAAAAGAAATAAATAAAACAATTTATTCTTTAATAATAAATTCTTTTCATTACATTGTTTTATTACATTTTATTAAATTAAATTTATTATATATTAATGTAATAAATTAAAAAAAATTTATGTATACTTATATAATATTATAATGGAACAAAATTCGTGCTTATATACATATATAAAATAATAAAATAAAAAATTTTTAAAAATAAGTATTACTTCATTAAATGAAAAAAAAGTTTAAATAATTATAGATTGAATTATTATTCTATTGAATTATATTTCTATTGAATTATAGATTGATTATTTATCAATTTAAACATATTAATTTTTTTTCTCTATTTTTATTTAGATTTATATATTTTTATATAGATTTCTGTTTTATACTTTTAATAAATTTTGTATATAAAATTCTAAATCCCAAACTAATCACTATATAAAATAAAATATTTTGTAATATTAAGGAATATATTTTTTAATGTATAATATATCTAATAATAGATTTTAAAATATTTTAAATCATTTCGAATATAATTAAAAATCTAAATCTCTTGGAAATCTGAAAATCTTCAAGACTTTAAGCTTTTTGAAAATTTCAAATTATTTCGAAGTTGAAATTCAAACATTAAGTATATTTCATCATTGAATATTTTATCCTCAAGATATAAGTATTTATATTTGTATGAAATATTATATTTAAAAAAATATATATTTTTCTAGAAAATTTATATTTGTGTGATAATCATAATCATATATTATTATATGAAAATATATTTAGCAATCATTTTGTCATAGTTGCTAAATATAATAAGATAATTAATTTAAAATTTAAACTTTTACTTTTCTTATACTTAATTCTATATTATTAATATTAACTATTTTTATCAGATTCATATAATTTTTCTATAGGCAAATGTTCAATATTCTTTATAGTATTTATTACTTTTTCTAATATTTGAGAATGTATTACTGATTTATCATTATCTGCATTAATTACATACCATGTTTTGTCTATTAATTTTTCATAATTAGAAGCAACAAGTTCTTGAAGTTCAACATTTTCAAAACGTTCATCTCCCCAATTACTACGTAAACTTTGAGATTTTTTGGAAATTGAAAGATAAATAACTAGATCTGGAGAAGGCAATCCACTGTCAGGTTCTTTGCACCAATTTAAATTTTTTCCAGTTATAGCTGCTGTATAAGCAGCACCAGAAGCAGCATATCTATATTACATTTAAAATTTTAATATTTTAATATTTTTTTGTAAAGAAATTATGACAAGATTTATTAATTACTTACCTATCAATAATAAGAGTAGTTCCTTTATATAAAGTTTTCAAAATTTCATCTTTACATTCCCATCGATTTGCAGAAAACAATAAATGTACTGTTTCAGAAGGAAGTTCTATTTTTTTAGTCAAAAAATTATTTATTATCTCTCCAATTGCAGTTGTTCTATCTATAAATAATATTGAGTTAAATAATGATTAATTTTATCAATTATTATTTCATAAGATTATATATAATAAACAAAAATTAACATTTCAACAATTACTAATATATTATATTATATTTATATTTAAAAAATTATTAAAAAAATATATATTTACTAGGAAAGCCATATAATTCAACAGGAATATTACAGTTATTTAAAGCAGTTATTAACATTTTCGCCTGAGTAGATTTTCCTGCTCTATCACAACCTTCTAAAACTACTAAAGCACCACGTCTTATTGACATTTTTTAAAAAAATTTTAATAAAATCTTTTATTTAATTATTAAAAATAACCATTAAATATTTCCTTCATACATGTACATATAATTATCGAAATGAAAGAGTTTTATATTTTATATGTGAAATGAAATGAATAAATATAGTTTTATATATGAAATGAAGTGAATATGGTCAATTATCTTATGTGCATTATGAATCAATAAAGATAATCGTTATTTTCTATGTAAATTATGTAATCGTATGTAAATTATCAAACATCTAAATTATTTTCATTACATTGCAAAAAAAACTCATTTGATGAATTTAAATTTATTTTTTACTTTCAAAATGATCTCAACGTCTTATAGATTATAGAATTAATGTTGATTAAAACAATATTTTAATATTATAAATTATATTTTATAAACATTATAAATTTATAAAAGTTAGTTAAAAAAACTAAATTAAAAAATTAAGTTATATTAAAATAAATAGCTATACATATAGTAACTATGTATATATTTATCTATATTTTACTACTATTTAATATGCAATCCAATTCTAACCTAATTGATGTTGTTAAAAATATAGTATTAATGAGAAAAAAAATTTCAAAAAACGTGCAAATGTATAGGCTTAATAAAAATTATATAGAAAAAAAATAATAAAAATTGAAAAATAAAATAATTTTAATGAAAATAAATATATATTTTACGATAAGAAAAAAAAATTTTCAAAAGATTAAGATTCATAAGTTGTATTATTCTTTATTATAATAGCAATAATAATAGAGATAATAGTAATAATAATATACAGTATACATTTTTCATTATCCGTATTTCCCATAAACATACATCGAATTGTAAAGTGAATTAAAGATATATTATAATATGTTACATTAAGCCAGAATCGCATCATTTATAAACCATTCTATACATACATTACGCACAATTCATTTAATACTTCTGTTCAACTTTAACGTTTTTATGTTAAAATTTTATTTTGACTTTTACTTTACTGCGAGTATATTACGTAGGGAGCATTTGAGCAGATCGAATTAAATAATGAAATAAAAAATCAATTTTTAATCATCACCTATTGATAATCTATGAATAAAACATCATTACTGAAACTTACGATAAATAAATTAAGATCAATCAAATTTAGATATTATTTGAAATTTTAAGATCAATTAAATTTAAATATTATTTAAAATCTTAAGATTAATTAAATTTAGATAAATGTAGTATTAAAGTCTTATTATTTTCGCAAAATGTATTGTAATGATCATAACAAAAATAGATAAACCTGCTCAACGAAATCAAGATAGTTAAAAACAATTCAAGATTAAATTTGAATAAAAAATACTTTTTTAACAATAATATAACCACAACACATATTTTGTACCTTAATGCCATTTTTCACAAAAAGAATTATTCTGATTTTGATATTGCCTTTTAAACTAGAATATAATCATGAATTTCTTCAATTTTGTTTAATGGCATCTACATAAAAAAGATAATTTGACAAATAGTTCTATTTAAAGTATGTATCAATATGCGAATTTGTTATATTTTTCGAAGGGACTTATGCTTATATATTTACAAATCATAAATTTCAATATATCTATATATACGTATATACATGTAACATACACAAAGATGCGATTCAATAATAATATGCTACAATTTATGCATAATATATATGCTTGAGAGTATACTTGTCATGAATATAAAATCAGATAATCTAATATATTTTACAAGACTCGACAAAACCAGCTTTACTCCAATTGTGATTAATGGCGGAAAAGAACATTATTTCACACAAATATAATAGAATTATTTTCCTTCGAACAATTTGAAGACTGTTCGCTTTATGGAAATTACGGACACTAACAGAATAAAGTCTTTTCCTTTTCTTTCTTCGCGAACGGATACGTGTTATACATATTTTGAATATATTCGTTTAATTATATCCGCTACTGTCTTCTTGCTTTCGATCATTTTTTATCACAAAACGCTGGACGATAAATAATGAAAAACCAATCTATAAGGCTTATTCTACGTTTGTACATTGCATGAATGTTATTCTTCGTTCATCAAGTTGCCATATTTTCCAGTATTTCTTGGCTCATATCTAAGAATTTCCCTCGGTAATATAGTGAAAAATATAATATGGAATATGTATCATCAAAAGCGATCACCGAGAGGAACATAGACTTTCGGAATAATCGTATTACGCTCGTAAAAAGAAAAACGCGAAATAACATCTTTATATAGAAGCGTATTTACTCGTTTGCAAAATATTTTCTCTTCCACTTGAGCATATTAAACTTTTTATGGCATACAATTTGATAATTAGAGATTGAAACATTCTGACAGCACCAACGTTCTTGAGGGAAAAACGAACTATGCATTTTCCTTAAAGAGAAAAAGCTTATGGTTCGTATAGACGCTACGATCAACATATATCTACAAGCATAAGCAAGTTGAAGAATAATAATGCAACTTGCAATTATTTTTTTTAAGTGATAAATATTGTTATACTGTATAATAAGAAAAGGCAAAATTCGAAACGTGTAGTTTCATTTATAACAATGAACATAAAACGTAAAATATAAAACATATTGCAAAAAGAAGAATATTTGTAAAGGAAATATATATTTATAAAATACTAGGCACCCAATTAATTGATAGAAACAATATTGGAGAAAATATTTTTAGACGAAATATATAGAATGATTACGAAAGAAAGTAAAAATTTGACATAAATATTGGCATTTTTACCAATTATCCCAAATTCAAATAGATAAATGGCAGTTACGCTTCTTATTGATATAACGTTGGTATGATATACTAGTCTGATGATTAATAACAATATTTGCATGATATATCGCCTAACAATAGGATTCATAAAATTTTCAGATTTCTAACATTTCTTACATTATTGATATCTGCTTCATTTTTTATGCAACTGTTCTTCGCCAGTGTATAAAATCAGATATGACCGTATATTATTATGTTATTAGATTATTTGTAACGAATTTTTTCATAATGTATACGATACGGTCAACATTATTCTCGCTATAATTAACATTATAACATGCAAAATATTTCCGGAAAAGCATTCACGTAAAACTTAAATCTGAATCCTGTTACGAGCGCAAACTTAACATTCTTCTTATTCGCGATCTTACTCAACATAATCACATAACACACATTAATTTTTTTATTATTAGAATTCTCCATTTTATCTTATTCAATCAATTCATATCAAAAGACCGCGATTGAAACGTTTCATCCATTATCTTCAATGCCAGTAATACATATTTCTCCGTTTAGTAATTTACATCGTTGAAAAGCATTATTTATGTATATATATTGAAAGATAAAAGTATCTACGATTCGCACGAATTAAATCAAAGAACATTCCATTAAAAAAAAATTTTTAGAAAACAAGTACCCTGTGTATATTTAATGAAATTCAGTAACATGTGGAGCATGTATTCTCCAAAATAAAAGCTGAAGAAATCCAAAAAATAAATCCTATTAATATTAACGATTTGTTAAACATTTTTCTATTGTAAATTGTAATATTCCAAATGTTTACGGTACTATTTAAAAGCAATTATACGCTTAGAATACATATATACATATATATTCTCTAGAAATCTTATTTCTAGAAAAATGAAACTAATTTTTGTAAAATCGAAACATAGGAAATTCACGTATACTTGACTAAACTTATAATGCATCTATTCACTTACGTAATTTGAGGTATATTTGCCTGTTTAAGTTATGAAAATTTCGATTCATCTAAATAATGTGTGATCTTGATAGAATAAAAAAATCTTCTGGTTACTCATCAACATATGTTGTTCAAGATTGTGAATTTTATCGTGGAGGATACCCGCTCTGATGTAAGTTTTTCGCTGAACGATTCTTCATGTCGCTTGGGTTGTACATCATTGGTCCCTAAAGATTATCATTTTTATTGAAAAATATAATACAATAGATTTAAATTATATACAAAATATTATCAATCTCACAATTATTTATAAAATTATTATACTTATTCTTGTATAACTTTACCTACAACAAAATTAAAAATTATAGCAAAAATTACAATATTGTTATATGTTTTAAAGAAAAAAAAGATATATAATATATAATGTTTTGTAATTCAATTAAAATTATTAATTCTATTTCTTTAATATTCAAATTAATAGTTTGAAATTTATTGATTGTGATACAAAGCATAAAATATAAGCTTCAACATGTAATGCATACATTATAAGACCAATACCATAAATACATCCATCACCAAGCTCTCCCTTACTTTTGCTATATAAATTTGAGAAGTGCTTAACATAATAAGTTTAAGCTTGATGTAAATGCAAAAGCTATATGATTGTGGAATATCAAAAGAAATTTTATTTTAACTCTATTGCAAATGTAGAATATATTTTAATTAGTTTTGTATATTATATAAAAAAAATATAAGTTAATAATTGTAAGAATTATTAAAAATTTATTCAGAAACTGAAAAAAATTACTCACATCAGAAATCATTTCATTTACAAAAATAATCAAATAAAATATAATCTACAATTACAAATTTATTATAAAATATGATATTATAATAAATAGAATTTTTAATGTATTGTTGAGTATTTATATATTTAAATGATATCACCTTTAGAATATGAAATGTCTAATGCCACTGGATTACCTTGTTTTGTGGGAGGAAACGCGGATCCCTCATAGTGTAGCTCTGCACCTCTCGCGATAACGAGCTGGTTGAGCTCCATCGAGAGAACTGTGTGCCATATAATAAACACAACAATCTTTTCTCACTAACCAAATACTCATTCTATTGCTATAGTTATAAAAGTTTGTGAGGATGCAATACCGACTTTCTTTATCACAAAACATACATATTGTTCCACAAAGTGATTGTAATACAGAAAATTATATAATATCAAAAATATAAATAGTTGGTATTGCAAATCTCTAATATTGTCATAAAAATATGATGATTCTTTATGATAAATATTCCTTTTAAATACAAAAATATAAATCATGCTGAAAATTATAATGTATATACAATAGTGCATTATTTTAGTGCCTTGTACCATATGTTAGTTTGTGAATTTAAATCATTTTTTTTAATATATTATTATCAAAAAATTGTATACATGCAAAAGAAAAAGATCCTAAAAAATAATTTAATAATATTGATAAAAAATAAAAGAAGATGATAGACAAGCA